ATCATTGGCTTGTTATGGATAAGTTATAAGAAGCTTAACAATTGTTGGCTTGTTACACAGATAAGTTATAAGAAGCTTAATTAATACTCATTGGCTTGTTACGGATAGGTTATAAAAAGCTTAATTAATACTCATTGGCTTGTTACGGAGAGGTTATAAAAAGCTTAATAATCATTGGCTTGTTACACAGATAGGTTATAAGAAGCTTAATTAATACTCATTGGCTTGTTACGGATAGGTTATAAAAAGCTTAATTAATACTCATTGGCTTGTTACGGAGAGGTTATAAAAAGCTTAATAATCATTGGCTTGTTACACAGATAGGTTATAAGAAGCTTAATTTATAGTCATTGGCTTGTTATGGATAGGTTATAAGAAGCTTAACAATCGTTGGCTTGTTACACAGATAAGTTATAAGAAGCTTAATTAATACTCATTGGCTTGTTACGGATAGGTTATAAAAAGCTTAATTAATACTCATTGGCTTGTTACGGAGAGGTTATAAAAAGCTTAATAATCATTGGCTTGTTACACAGATAGGTTATAAGAAGCTTAATTAATACTCATTGGCTTGTTACAGATAGGTTATATAAAGCTTAATAATTATTGGCTTGTTACAGATAGGTTATAAGAAGCTTAATTAATACTCATTGGCTTGTTAAGGATAGGTTATAAGAAGCTTAACTTATAGTCATTGGCTTGTTACGGATTGGTTATATAAAGCTTAATAATCATTGGCTTGTTACAGATAGGTAATAAGAATATTTTTTATTTTTAAACTTTTCATTGCTGACTGAAGAATAGAAACCATTATTTAATGAAGATGATAAACAACTTCAGAGAAATGTTTAATTACTTGTACCCGACGTTCCAGCTTACACCTTTATCAAAGGTCTATGAACGTCACAGGTTACCAAACTGTTTTTAAATAACAGTAACCGAAAACGAAATACAGCTACAACAATATAACGGAAAAGTGTACATGATACTGATACGAGTATAGTGAACAGTTTTGAGTCGTTGATCATAAAATATAGAAAATGATAATAATAATATAAAAAATTAATAAAATGTTAAAGGGGGCAGGCATTGTACCTGTTAATGGAACGGCATCTGGATTGAATCAAAGGTGATTCCTTATATTTTCTGTTGAGGAAATTGTCACAAGTCATAAAAAGAATTATTAATGGTGATTAGAAGCTTAATAATCACTGGCTTGTCATGAATAGGTTATAAAAAAAAGTCACAATAAAGTGTAACATAACTGCAGAAGTTAAATTTTACATCACAAAAATTTCATATCATTTTGATAAACTTCATTTACTATTGAAGCTATTTCAACAAGTACTCTTAATTTTTATCATTTTTCGGTATATTTAAAGATAATTTTTGGAACAAACACTTATGCTAGTTACAGTACTTATGATCTTGATACTTGTGAATACTCAATTTTAAACTATTCTGCTCAAAACTATTATGTTTGTTATTATAATACAGTAAGACCATCCATTCAAGGACTTTAAAAGAACTGGTCAAAAATAGGCAACAATATATTAGAGTAAACTGAAACCACCCATTCAGGAACTTCAAAAGAACTGATAAAGAAAAAAGCAGGGAGTTTTATGATATTAGAGTCCTTGCCTTTGCTTGAAGCCATCAATGAAACGGTGTCACTTTATGAAATGTCTGAAAAATGACTGATAATTAACCTACGGCATTTAACAATTTTTGTGGTCATTTTAAAGGTTCCAGATTTTTACTTAGAAAGCATGATCTCACAAAACAGATAACGAACATGTTTTTCTCACCTAATGTTGTCAACAGAGCAGTGGAAAATTTAATAAAATTACAAACGACAATCAAAAAAGTAGGTTCAAATCGACATTTGATAAAATGGAAAAGCTATTTCTACTATAGTTCCAGGTTTGTCATTTCAAATGTTTCAAAAATTTTGAAAAAAAAATAAATCTTATTCAGATTTTTAGACCATTGAATAAAATTAGTTCAAATATTAAATAAAACTAAAGAAGTAGTTAACTTCATGCAGTTTTTATAAAATTGAATGTGGTTGTATATACGTTGGCCAAAGTAGAAGAAATTTAAAATTTTGAATAAACGAACATCAGAGAAGTATTAAAAACATTTTGCTACTATCAATTTCATTAATTTTCTTTCATGAATTTAACAGCCACTGTTAACACACATTTGAAACAAATAAACAAACATAATTTTAAATTTCATTTCCTTATTCAGAGATGAAAGTGTCCCTTTCCTAAAAATCCTGAAAATAATCGAAGCCAAGTAAGTAGGTTCCGGCACCCAAAATCCTGCATTTTAGTACTTAAAATTCACTTAAACAAGTTACCCCATTTTTCTTACATCAATGATTATCAAATACATGTGAGAAATAT